TGAGAAAGTAATGTATAAAGATAGGGATAAGTCTGCATGTGAATCTGAATCTGAATCTGTTACTTGTAATAAGCATGTTGAGTTAGAGGAGATCAGTGAGAGTGTTTTGAATAGTAAGATTCAGAATAATCCTGAAAAACTTATTCCACAAACTAAGCCACATACTCCTACTCCTAAGTTGAGACGGTCAGAAAGAGAGTCTAAACCTACACAGCGTTGGTCTTCATCTTTACATTATTTGTTGTTATATAATAGGAGTGAACCCGAAAGTTATGATGAGGCTTTGCAGGTTGATGATTCAATTAAGTAGGAGTCAGCTATGTAGGATGAAATGGATTCACTCATGGCAAATCAGACATGGGAGTTGACTAAATTACCAGTGGATAAGAAACCCTTGCACAACAAGTGGGTTTACAAGATCAAACAGAAACATGATGGGAGTAAACGCTACAAGGCCAGATTAGTTGCAAAGGGATTTCAGCAAAAAGAAGGGGTTGACTACACTGAAATTTTCTCTCCAGTTGTGAAGTTGACCACTATCAGATTGGTGTTGGGAATTGTGGCTACTGAAGATTTGCATCTTGAGCAGATGGATGTGAAGACGGCTTTTCTTCATGGTGATTTGGAGGAGGAAATTTACATGAAGCGACCACAAGGTTTCTTGGCACGTGGCAAAGAGGAGTTTGTATGCAAACTTCGAAAAAGCTTGTATGGTTTGAAATAGGCCCCAAGGCAGTGGTGCAAGAAGTTTGATGGGTTTATGTGTAGCAACGGTTTTACAAGATGTCAAACAGATCATTGCTATTATTTCAAGAGGTTTGACAAAAGTTATATTATTTTGCTTTTATATGTTAATGATATGTTGATAGCAGGATCTAGCATTGAAGAGATAAAAAAAATTTAAGAAACTTTTGTCCAACCAATTTGAGATGAAAGATCTTGGAGTTACAAACAAAATCCTTGGTATGAGGTTTCACAGGGACAAGGCAAATGGTACTTTGAAGTTGTTACAGGCTGAGTATGTCAAGAAAGTTCTCAACAGGTTTAGCATGGATGGTACAAACCAGTGAGCACTCCATTAGCTAGCCACTTCAAACTTACCAAAGAGCAGTCTTCGAAGGCCAAAGAAGAGCAGACTTACATGGAACGTGTTCCATATGCTTCAGATAATGGTAGCATAATGTATGCTATGGTTTATACTAGACCAAACATTACACATACAGTAAGAGTAGATAGTAGGTACATGAGTAATCCAGGCAAGTAGCATTGAGAGGCAGTGAAGTGGATCCTTAGATACTTGAGTGGTACTACAGACATGGCACTTTGTTTCAGACGAACCGGCATCAGGTTACATGGTTATGTTGATGCAGACTTGGCTGGTGATATGGATAACAGAAAAAGTACTACTGGTTATGTTTACACATTGGGTGGTACAGTAGTGAGTTGAATTTCACCGTTACAGAAGATTGTGGCCCTTTCTATAACAGAGGCTAAGTATGTTGCTATTACTGAAGCTGGAAAGGAGATGACATGGTTACAGAATTTCCTAGCCGAGTTGGGTAAGACACAAGAGATGAGTATTTTGCATAGCGACAGTCAGAGTGCTATTCATCTTGCAAAAAATCCGGCTTTTCATTCTAGGATGAAACACATTCAGCTGCGATACCATTTCATTCGTTCATTTGTGGGTGATGGAGTCTTGTCACTTGAGAAGATCCAAGGTAGTAAGAATTCAACAGACATGTTGACCAAGACAGTCACCATTAACAAACTGAAGTTGTGTGCAACTTCAATTGGCCTTCAAGATTGATGAAGGAAGATCGAGTTGTTGTAGCGTTCCTCTATGTGATGAAGATGATGGAGAGCTTGTGTTAATAGGTTCCAAGTGGGAGATTGTTGGGTTGGTCAACCCTGATAAATAATGTTCACTCAACCCTACTATTCACTCAAACACTGAGTCCAATAGGGGGTTTAGGTAGTTCCGTAATTCCCATGTGCTTTCATGTAACTCTAATTCTATACTTATAAATAGATGATGGGCGCCTCTTTTAGGTCAAGAGAGAGTTGTATCTTTCTGATCATAGTGAAAACCGCAGCAGCCGTGAACGTAACCCTATTCTGGGGTGAACCACGTAAATCCTTGTGTTCTTGTGTGTGTGTGATTTCTTCTTTATTGTTATTTCGTGTCTCACCGATCTTGATTAGGAAGGGTCAATTCCTTACAATTAAGAGTCAATAATTCAATCATTATATTATAAATATATTAATAAATAAAATATAATAATTAAAATTACAAAAATACATATTTTTATTATTAATTATAAATTTGTTATTAATTCTAGATTTAAAATTTCATACTTTATTTTTGCAAGAAAACCATCGTAATAAGTTTTTAATTTTGTAAGACAAATGATAAATGATATATATTTAACAAGTTAAACAATATCAGTGCATGCCTAAATGGTTGTTGGTTGTGCTGCTCTTATACGATTTGTAGGTTCAAATTTAAGCCACGGCATTCATGGGTTGAAGCGATTTTTAGAAAAGAAGCCGGATGTTTAATGTATCCAGTTCAAATGATTTATTAATAAATGAATTATTTATTATATGATTAAAAATTTGAAAGGATGAGATATAATTTTTAAAATTATAAGAAATAATTTATATTTTAAATAAATTTTAAGGAATGTATTTGCAATATATCTAATTTTTAAATAGGAAGAACAGGAGCTATATGCGGACTTGTGGTGGGCTGAGTTTGGGTGGCCCGATGGGCTGATATGCGGGTTCTATCCTTCATTTTAGGCCTAGTTCATATATTTTAGGATTGTTGAGCCGGCCCATTCTCAGGCCTGTCGGAGCTAAAGCCAGTAGAACCCAGACATGGGCTCTAAGGTGTCTGATGAGGCTTACCCAAAAGGCCTAAAATTATATGGGCTTCAGTTGACCCAAAAGGTGTCAACGCTTGAATGTTTATGAACTTTTAGATGAATATTTTGAAATATTAAATACATATGAATTTGATTTACTGTTGTTTAGTTGATTCATTTAATCACACAATCTAAATCGCAATCATAAAAATAAATCAAGCACACATAAAAAGCTTGCTATTTTTAGGAGTAACGCAAGAGTGATCATCTTTATTTATCACATTTGGTTTGTTATGTGATGTATCAATAATGTATTATTAACATAATTATAAATGTTGAAATCTATTCAACTAATATAATTATGACAAATGAGATGGTAAATTATGTAACAAATAAGTATGGTCATTCTAGTATTACTCAATTTTTAATGTGGAAAATAAAATTAAAAAAATTACAAAACCTAGTCCAACTAACGATTCACTTAATAAAATAAAGAAACAAAATATCAATTATAATGAGTTGAAACCATCTTAAAATTTATAAAATCAATGCCTCTCGCTCAAGTTTGTAAAAATCCATTTACATAATATTTGTGAGCCGTACTTTCCCTTAGTATGGATCATCTGTCTCACTCTTTATCCTATATTTATCTCATATTATGAAGTTCTTAAAATTATTGATTAAAAAAAATATGTGATAGAAGATGATATGAGGAGTGAGATATATAGATGATCTCATGGCTTTTCACTCACTCCTATAATTAATGTTCCACCATGATATTTGGGGTTGACTTTTTTAAATTATTTTTTGTTGATTTTTTTTAATCTTTAGTGAATTTTTTTTATAAAAAAAAAATTAAAATTTTCACTTTTGAGTTTTGAATTCTACTTGAATAGACTAACTAAAAAAAAATAAAATAAAATAAAAAATATTGAAAAGAAAAAGTCCAAAAAGGACACCAAAAAAATGGCCAAAAATTGTTGTTGTTGTTGTTTTTTTTTTTTTTTTTTTTCGGGGCTTCAATTTACACACAAGAATAGGAATGGCAACGGGGCGGGGCGGGGCCGGGGACTACTCCCCCCATCCCCGATCCCCGAAATTTATATGTTCCCCGTCCCCGTCCCCGATCCCCAACGGGGACCCATAGCCCGGCCCCATCCCCGCCCCTGATCGGGGATCGGGTTTCCCCGACCCCGAAAACCCCCCGGCCAAAAAAAAAAAAAAAACAACAACAACAACATCATCCATATTCAACAACAGCAGATCTTATATATTCATCAACAACAACAATATCATATATGTTCATCATCATCATCATATATGCGTAAATCAGATTAAATATGAAGTTTGAAAATAGATGTGTATAATGCAAACAAATTAAATTTGTGTATAATCAAACAGATCAAATATGTAGAACAACAAATATGTGTATAATGAAAACAAATTAAAAAAAATTTATGTTTGACGAACAAAAATTAAATCAGTATGTGTATAACGAACAAATTTTTTTTTTCTTTTTTAATGTTTCATTATCATCATCATCAACAACAATCATCAACTTAAAAACAAAAAAACACGGATCAAATCAGAGAGAGAGAGAGAGAGATGAGGTAGGGCGGTGGTGGTGGTGGATCTAGGTCTTGCACACACGGATCAGATCAGATCAGATCTGATCTGATCTCACGGCGGGTGGTGGTGGTGGATCTGAATCGTGTGGTTGAGCAGCTCCGACGGCTGAGAGAAAGGACGAAGTCGAAGACATCACGGTAGAGATGGATGGTGCGATCAGCGGCGAGATGAGAGATGGGAGAGATAAGAGAGAGAGAGGAGATAGTTTTAGAGCAGTGGGATGAGCGAGTGAAGAGATGAGAGAGAGGGGAGACAATTTCAGAGAGTAAGTACATAGAGGAGAACGAGAGTGAGAGAGAGAGAGAGAGAGAGATATATATATATATAAATATAATATAATATAATATAATATAACCTAAACAGCAAGCCTAAACACATATAATAATCTAATATAGATAGATATAATATAATATAGACATATATATATACATACGGGAAGTTTCGGGGAAATTGCGAGGCAGGGCAGGGCCAGGGCCGGGGAAGAGAAACTTATCACCGTCCCCAGCCCGAAATTGATCGGGGATTTAATTTTGAATACCATCCCCTTCCCCACGGGGGTATTTTTCGGGAAAAAATCATTCTAATCGGGGTCGGGGGGTCGGATCCCCGTCGGGCCGGGTTCAAATTGCCATCCCTAACAGATATGTGTATGTATTCCACATGATTATAAGAGAAGAGGTAAAACTGATCTCTAAGATGTGGCTATGGTTTTTCCCCAAAATCTGTAAATATAATACAGATTCCAGATTGTGGGAATTGGTTGGACCTCAAGATTGGACAAGTGGTGTGTCCATGTGCTTTGTATTAGATGCTCAGATGTAGAAAATTATATATATATATACAGCTCTTCATTCTATAGTTAGGTGTCATCTGCAACAAACTAAAAAATCTGGTATGTTCTTCTCTGTCTTATCCTATCTTCAATGATGTATATGATTCTGTTTTCTACCATACATTCATGCTCTTGTTTTATTCATATTTGGTTCCCTTTAAGATTTGCCTACCATGTGTTTGCCAATATGTCTAAACCATAAAAAATTTCATAATAGGGAAAAATGTAATAAATTAGCATTAACCGTAACTGGTAATTGCCATAAGAAAATTCCATTGGTTAGTAATCTAGGTATCTGCATTGATCCTTACTACTCATCACTTATTATTGGATTTTTTTTTTTTTTTTTTTGGGAGATATTCATATATTTGTTGTTGGGATGCCTGTTGTGTTTCTTTATGGTTGAGATGTTTTCATGCCTACACTGAGATTGATTGGAAATGGGCATAACCATGATTTATTGAAATCAATTATATACCCTACTATCTGATTCCTAGGCAAGTAGCAGTGTTATAGGTAGGCCATATGTTATCTTTGTGAAATTGTATAATTGAATTTGGAAGATTATTTTTCGGGATAAGTGCGTAGGGATTTATTTGATGAAAACAAGGGCAAATTGAAGTTTTAAGTAGCCGAATTGTAGGAATGGGGACTGAGAACAACAGCTGCATGTTATTTTCCCATTCTCTGATGAATGGCTTTCTTACGTCTCAAAAAAAAATTTTTTTTTTGGGTAACTCGAAAAATGGCAAGCGATGAAATCATTGCCTTTTATTGCCTGGCTTGACTATTATTGCATTAGAATTGAAAGCTAATGTGATTCAAGATTTAGTGATTCTTGGTAATCAACAAACACTATGGCGTAGTTCTGAGTGATCCTGTTGGAGTGCCATTGTGAACTATATACAGTTTTTATTGACTTTGTGAGCAGATAATTTCTTAAACCCCTTCACTAACCTTTATTCTTCAAACATCCAGGGTATAGGAGGGCTCACCACATGGGTTCTAATTCTAAATCTGTAACGCCCTAAAAATTAACCCATTATATATATCAATGACATGCATTATTTAAAGAAAACACTTCAATAATTCATTATAATATTCATCAGAGTCTTACTAAACAAAAGCATTACATGTAACATCAAATTAAATGCCCTAACGGCTTACATCTTTCCAAGCCAACACTTGGACACAAAAGTATGAGTTCTAACTCAAATATAAATAAAGCCCTAGGCTTGAGTGTTCACATGTACTAACAATGAAAAAACAAATAACTAGAAATAGTCTTCAAAATCCAAGTCCGTCCAAGCTAAGTCCTTGGAGGTAGCTTATCACCTGAACCTGAAAATGATGTTCCCATAAAGGGTGAGCCACAGCCCAGTAGAAATATACTAAACCACATATAAGCAATGAATAAAGCAATAGCATTCAACAGATGGTCAACCAAAATAATCAATTACTTCATTTTACAGTCTCACGACACTATTGCCAAAGATACGTTTTACTTTCCAATTTAATCAACATGGTTCAGAACCTGGCCAAACTTATAACAGTGAATCACATATATCATATTCACATCCTTCCAATATCAACAAACAAATGAGACTCAAGCTCAAATCAAACACTTCAAACTTCCAGATTGATACACATTTTAGTGCATGGGCCCAGTAACCCTAACCTTGAGCCCGTGTCTCAACTTCTTTTCGAACTCAAGACAACGACGTTCCTCAAACGCCACTAGCTCAGGTGCAAACCTAGATAAACTGATAAGCACACATAAAAGTGATGCTAATGGAGTCCATCCCCTATCTCCTCCCAAACAAAATCCGGTTTAGAGGTCCATCCCCTATCTTCCCCTAAACCGTGGAGTACATCCCCTATCTCCTCCCACACAAAACAATGTATGTAACCACATAACATATGCAACACACAATCAATACACATAATGTCTGTATTAATTCAACAGTCGAAATTGATGATTTAATCAATGATTAGTTTCAGTTATCCCTAATCCTCATGTAGTGTCTACAACAATCACAGCTATCCTCCACCGATAGCCCAAAACAGTTATTTCTAGACTGAAAATAAATATATCAACAATTCAATGGGTGAGTGATTTAAATTATCCAACTACACCTCTTAATCAATGAATTCCTCAATTCCATGAATTTAACCATATTCCCCCAATTTCCTTTAATTAATTATACAAATTAACTTATTAATGCCACTAGGGTTTTTTCCCAAAATTACCAAAGTATCCCCAACATATCAAAATACCAAAACTTAGAACAAAACTTATAGAATGGAGTAGGAAATCCCTACCTCGAAGAAATAGCCCCAAAAGAGAAGATGGAGATGAAGACCCAAACTTCAAAATGCTCCAAACTACCAACAACTCAGATTAAATGGAAGCCCTCGACCCACTCTATCTTTTTAATAAAGGATCTAAGGTAGAAACTCACTCTAAGTAGATCAATCCTAAGAGAGAAGGTGTGTAGAGGGAGAGAGAACTCGTACTTAGGGTTTTGGAATCTGAAAGTGGATGAAAACCTGATCTGAAACACGCTGCTGCCTATTTAAACCTGACAGGCTCGCTAGAGCGAAGACTTGGTCACTCGAGCGACCAGACACAGAAAATCTACGCTCGAGCCAAGGAGGCCTTGCTCGAGCCAACAACCCAAAAGCTCGCTCGAGCGAAAGAAAACTCGATCGAGCGAAGAACTCAAACCCTCAGGTCGCTATAAGTTTTAGTCGCCAAATGATACCCTTTTTTCCGTGACTAAAAAATTTACTCGCTCGAGCGAAGAAAATCTCGCTCGAGCCAAGAATGCAAAGCTACAGGTCCAAACCAGACGCAAACTCTCGCTTGAGCTACCAAACCCCGGCTCGAGCGAAGAACCAAAAACAACATCTCGCTCGAGCGACAAAATCCTCGCTCGAGCGAAGATCCAAAATTCTTGACAGCAACACTTGGTTTCTAAACCCAACCGACCTGAAACAAACCTGCGCAACACATCCAATAACTTCAAATAAGAAAATATGGGACGACAACAACAACAATTATACAATGACAGAATCTACGGAACCTAAGTCCGGATACAATAATCAAATGGGAAAAGACTGAGGTCGCTATAACCAAGTTACTGCTGCCAAAGCCGAGGCCATTGCTAAGGCCGAAAAAACAAGTCAACATGTCCTGCGACAAAGACTACTATCTTGATTGGATGATAGCCCTCAAAAAGATGTCTGTCCCTGAGGACTCACCCCTCCGTGATATGGGTTAGCTCAATGTCCCTTTCCCTCCCTCTCCCAATCAATATGAGGATGAGGCTGAGGAAGTAGAAGAGGCCGACGACGAGATCTGAAATCCAGGATCTGCTCACTTAGGCTAAGCTCTTGTTTTCTCGGACCTAATCATCTAGGCCGAGATCTTGTCTTCTAGGATCTGAGATCCGGGATCTGTTTACTTAGGCTGAGCTCTCGTCTCCTCGGACATACTCATTTAGGCCGAGATCTTGTCTTCTAGGATCTGGGATCTACTCACTTAGGCTGAGCTCTTGTCTTCTCGGACCTAATCATCTAGGCCGTCTTACTTTTTATTGGTTTTTTTTTTTTTTTTTTTGGGAGATATTCATATATTTGTTGTTGGGATGCCTGTTGTGTTTCTTTATGGTTGAGATGTTTTCATGCCTACACTGAGATTGATTGGAAATGGGCATAACCATGATTTATTGAAATCAATTATATACCCTACTATCTGATTCCTAGGCAAATAGCAGTGTTATAGGTAGGCCATATGTTATCTTTGTGAAATTGTATAATTGAATTTGGAAGATTATTTTTCGGGATAAGTGCGTAGGGATTTATTTGATGAAAACAAGGGCAAATTGAAGTTTTAAGTAGCTGAATTGTAGGAATGGGGACTGAGAACAACAGCTGCATGTTATTTTCTCATTCTCTGATGAATGGCTTTATTATGTCTCAAAAAAATTTTTTTTTTTTGGGTAACTCAAAAAATGGCGAGCGATGAAATCATTGCCTTTTATTGCCTGGCTTGACTATTATTGCATTAGAATTGAAAGCTAATGTGATTCAAGATTTAATGATTCTTGGTAATCAACAAACACTATGGCGTAGTTCTGAGTGATCCTGTTGGAGTGCCATTGTGAACTATATACAGTTTTTATTGACTTTGTGAGCAGATAATTTCTTAAACCACTTCACTAACCTTTATTCTTCAAACATCCAGGGTGTAGGAGGGCTCACCACATGGGTTCTAATTCTAAATCAGCTGTTGATTTCATATAAGGTTCATCAGGGGTTTATTTTTCCTAGATTTCACTTGGATGGATTGGAGCTAAGAAATTCAAAGGTGGAGCAATCAGCAGCTGAACATGCACATAAGCAACCTTTTGTCATTGGTGAGTTTAGGCACATCATAGATCTTTTTTTATTTTATTTTTGTGATAAATATCATATTAGATCATTTTAATCATTCTCTCATATTGTCTTGTTCATTGCACTACATAATGATTTTTTTGATTTGAATTTTGAAAATTGAGATGTCAGTCTATTCTCTTATATGATTTGCACCCCCTTGGTGCCTCTTTTAGCATAATCTATTTTGTTGATTTTGGAGATCTCTTTCCCACCATTGGTACACCTCTTGTCCACTCTTTCTCTCTCCATATAGACATATAGACAAACAAACACATGGGTGTGTGTATGGGACTTGATTCTTCTTGGTTTATGAATATTTGTAGTTGTTTCTTCAATAAAAATGGTTTAAATTATGGGTTTATAACAATTTTGAGTAGAACATTTGGAAAATTTGATTGAAGGTTTGTGGGTTCAGTTGTAAATTTCTATGTTGGTAGTTTTAAGATGAATTTAACTGACATAAACAGGAGAATCAAATTTGATTGCTCTATTTTTGGGTTAGCTAATAATGGAAGTACACCTCATTTTTTCATGATGGTGCTGAGGATCATCGCTAGTTTCTTTATGATTTCAAACTTGTGCTCTTTTAATTGTCCATTTGGGAATCCTAAGTTTCTGTAAGGGTTTTCTCATACTGGGATAATTCGTACTTTCTTGATTTTTTTTTTTTTGTTTTATTTCAATTAAAATACTAGAAGGAAAACTCTTTTAGAGATTAGTTTTTCTTTTTTTGGGGGGAGGGGGGGTGGCTGAAAATGATACATATTCACTTAACTCAACCTATCAAAATATTTGAATGGGTGATTAGGGGGATAGATGGAATTAATATTGTTGTTAAGAGCAACCTCTAAAAAGAAAAGAAAAGAAAAGAAAAGAAAAGAACCGGAAAGAATTGAAAGGAAAGAATAATGTATGTCATATTTCTATTGCTTGACATGATTGTTGGGGCATATATTATGTAGAGACTTCATACGACTTAGTATGTTATTACAATTTGTAAATTCTATTTTGATGATTTGGTTTGGATGATCTAGATGTTCAGCATCAGCAATGCAAAAGCTCATGTACACTCAAAGTTGCATTTCGCTAATTTGCAGAATTAACCAGGACAGTAGATTTCAGGGGGCTTTAGCATTGGTATCAGTACCAATATGCTTTCTAATTGTGTAGGAAGGCTTTGCTATCTTAATGGGCACTTTCCTGATATAGAATATGCAATACACCCTTGATATACTTGGCATTCTCTAGATGTTACCTTTTATGGGATCAGTAGCAGTGAACATCCACTATGCCTCACAATTTTTTTATCCACTTGCGTTTTTTGAACTTCCACGCAACAATTTGGCTTAGAAATGTAGTTACTTTTTGCTTGTTTAGCTAATATAGTTTTCATGTGAAGAATGGAAATGATATAAACTGAAAAATCAATGTGCACTTTATTTTTCTTTTGATGGGCTTTACTCATTTTTTATTTGAATTCATTAAATATTGAGCTTAATGTCCTTGCTATGACCATTTCCACGTATGGATTTCAAGATCAAGCTGTTAATAGTTGGTGGAAAAAGACTAAAACTTACGATTTGGGACACAGGTAATTAACATAGATGACTTGTTCTTTGGAACTATTTTGTTTATGCAATGTGAAAAATTTCTTGGATCCCAATAGTATTTCCTCCTCATACATGCAACAAATTTTTTAGTTTTTTCTTGGATGTTTTTGTTATAAACCTCCAACTCAAGGCAGGAATGTTTATTTTTTGGTACAAGTTTTCATTTTCACAGTAACCTGGCTTGTTAAGCCTTTTAAGCTATTTTTGGGCTTGAAACGAAAAAAGCCTATAAATGGTGGTTTTTCAACTTTCTTACACAATACTTCAACGAATTTTTGAATTTTACAAATTGTCCTTGAGCAATATGATAAAAAATGTGGTTAGGTAATCTAATGTTCCATAAACGATTTTTTAAGCAAATTTTTACATGTGAAACGTTTAAAGCAATTGCTAAAATAGCTACTTTCCAATACCAAAACCCTACAGCTACCTTTATGAAAAGTTGAGATAAAAATAGCTGTTGAAGTGTTTGTGCAAGTTTGACTGGTTTCGGAGTTGTGGAAGGAGAGCCCTTAAATTAGATATTGACATGTATCTATCCTTCAAAACAGAAACACAAACAAAAACAACAATTTAGAAAAGTATTTTTTTTTTCCTGGACAAGCTTTATTGAACCTATTTTATTCAAACATATATTATTCAATATTCAGATATGAGGCTATTAAATTTTTTGGTTTGCAGCTGGACAGGAGAGGTTTGGAACATTGATAAGCTCTTACTATAGAGGTGCACATGGAATTATCCTCGATAAGCTATTTACAAATGCAGAAAATTTGCATTCTAGTGTCATTTATGTGGTAGTTATATTTTTGACAGTATTTCACATGGAATAGTTCTTGATTTTTTGGGGGTAACACATGAATCCTGTTGAAAATTTCTACTCTGTCACATGCTTCTTCCTACCATTTCAATCAATTTAAATAGTTTTAATTATTGATGCGTTGTTGTCATCTTTCCTCTACCTAATGTTTAAGAAACCACTTTTGTATTTACGTTTTGTTTTAGTTTATGATGTAATAGTGATGGCCAACTAGTAATTAATAAAATGGAGACATGTTAGCAAGATGAGGTTCACAGCATCAATGGATTAGAAAACAGGTAGGTCCAATTGATCTTACGCTATTAGTGTGCACAAAATGACCTCTTTGCAAGCAGTTTCTCAAACTTGGTTTGACAATTACAATTACTAGTTCAAAATTAGTTTTTCTCAAATATTTATTTTACACATAATCTACTTGGCTTGCCAAAATCTGCCTTCATATACAAAATCTATCTTCACTTTAATACACAAAATCTACTTTCACTAACCATTTGATCCATTGATTGTTTCACTACATAAATCAAACTTTCTCTAGCTCATACATGCGAGTAACAAACAAATAAGGAAACAACTTCACTTTCATGGCATATGCAACGAATTATTTTTTTCTCTCGTTACTCATCCTTGCATTACATTTTGTTTCTACAACGTTGTATGTCGAAAGTTCTGTCACTGAATATATTGTTTTATAGTTTGCTCAGTTCCAAACAATCCTAAACCCTTGACAGTCCATTGTCAATCTATGATGATATTGGAACTCATGTCCTCACCTTTGGTGAAAATTTTCATTGGAGTTTTAGAATCAATATTTTCTATACTACTCGCTTCTTCTGTCATTTCTGGTGGGGTTCTAAGCAATTGAGTTTCGATGTGTTTTATTACTATACAACAGCCAATTATTGCAAAAGTCCTATTGGAACATATACTTGTTATTGGATAGTGAGACCTGCAATACACCCTTGATATACTTGGCATTCTCTAGATGTTACCTTTTATGGGATCAGTAGCAGTGAACATCCACTATGCCTCACAATTTTTTTATCCACTTGCGTTTTTTGAACTTCCACGCAACAATTTGGCTTAGAAATGTAGTTACTTTTTGCTTGTTTAGCTAATATAGTTTTCATGTGAAGAATGGAAATGATATAAACTGAAAAATCAATGTGCACTTTATTTTTCTTTTGATGGGCTTTACTCATTTTTTATTTTAATTCATTAAATATTGAGCTTAAAGTCCTTGCTATGACCATTTCCATGTGTGGATTTCGAGATCAAGCTGCTAACAGTTGGTGGAAAAAGACTGAAACTTACGATTTGCAGCCACATTATTATGTAGGAAAATTTTTAAAAAAAAATTACAGTGTAACAGTGATACAAAATTATCACTTACATGTAAACGTAATTAATCCCACTACAAAAATATGAAATTATTAAATTGTTTAATTATATTTGACAAGTGAAATTAGCCTTTCATGCGCCATTTTACTATTGGTTAGTGATACCGTATATCAATGATTGATATGGAATTACTATTATTTATATATTATTATATAATCTATCATAAGATATACACAATTTTTTTACATTGCTTATAATATACTAGTTATAAGTAACACTATATTTTCACTTCTAATTTTTTACAAGGTCAATTGTAAAACCAAAAATTTAAAAACTTTTATGTTAAATATTTAATATTTTGTACTTAATATTAATTTAAAAAATTATTATCTACTGTTATTGATTATAAGAAAAAAAATTAAAATTTTAATTAGTAAATACCTCTCTAAACTATTTTTCTAGCTCCACCATAGCTTATGTGAGATGAGAAAGCTGATTTTGTCATTGAAATATGTTAAATAGCTATAAATAAGTTTTACATACAAAATTGTGGAAATTGTTTGCTAAAAGTGGCGGGTGACAATGAAGTGGTCTGCACGACCATAAATACTAAAATGAATAGATTTTTTTGTTTCTTTCTTTTCTTTTTAAGTCTCTTGGATGTCTTGTCAAAATATAAGAAAAATTGTAAATTAGTAGTAGCTTTACAAAATATTTATAAATTTATGAAAAAATTTATAACTTTAATTCTTAAAATTGATGAAGTTTGCTATTGATTTGTAATTTTTTTTTAAAAACATGCACTTCAGGAAGGAGAATAATTTATTTATTTACTTGATAAGACACTACAAGAAAAATCACCTTTGGCGACTAAAAAGGTTCATTTTTAGTCGCCAAAAGTCGCCTTTTTACCTTCCCCGACTAAATTTTTTAGTCGCTGGTTTTGTCGCGAATAAACGGTCGCAGAAGGTTTTGGCGACTAAAAAGGTTTTAGTCGGCAAAAAAACAGGTCTTTAGCGACCAAAGTTTTGGTCGCCAATACTCAATTCCACTGTTTAAAATTATACATTTGGCGACTAATCTTTTAGTCGCCAATAGTTGATGGAACGCCGACTAAGTTGTTTAGTCGCCAAAACAAATACTTTTGGCGACCAATAGTTTAGTCGCCAAAGGTTGTTTGGTGGAAAAAAAAAAGAAGCTAACTTTCTGTTTTTTCTAAGATTCGAACCACCAAAATCTTTTAGTCGCCAATAGTTGATGGAACGCCGACCAAACTGTTTAGTCGCCAAAACAAATACTTTTGGCGACCAATAGTTTAGTCGCCAAAGGTTGTTTGGTGGAAAAAAGAAAAAGCTAACTTTTCTGTTTTTTCTAAGATTTGAACCACCAACCTTCTACCTTCTAAACCTTTAGCAACACACTCCTTCCACTATACCACTACAACATCACATGAATATATATGCAATATATATTATTTATATACTATATTGACCCGTATTAATATAAAACTATATATATAAATAATTATTTTTATGCAATATAATTTATGTATAAAATAAATTATTTACTAAAAAAAAATTGAAGCCACTTTTGGCTACTAAATATATTATTTAGTCACCAATAATGTAATTTTGGGCTACTAAAATATTTTTTAGTCGTTAAAAAAATAAGTTCCGGCTGAAAGTAGCATTTTTGGCGACTAAACCTGTTTTTTGTCGCCAAAAACGTCCCCTTTTGGCTACTAAACTGAACTTTAGTCGCCAATTGCCTGTTTTTAGCTACTAAATTTTTTTTAGTAGCCAAAAAGCTTCACTTTCAGCGATGAAACTGTTTTTAGTCGCCAAAACCTATACTTTTGGCTACTAAATTATTTTAGTCGCCAAAAACCGTCACTTTTGGCTACTAAAAAACCTTTCGTCGCTAAAACCCATACATTTGGTGACTAAATCTGTTTTTAGTCGCCAATAACTATACATTTGGCTACTAAACTCTTTTACTCGCCAAAAGTCTTCACTTTTGGCTACTAATTCCATTTTAGTCGCCAATTGTGCTACTTTCAGCGACGAAAATTTGGTTTTTAGTCGCCAAAACTGCTTTTCCTTGTAGTGAGAGATGCATTGAGATCAGATTATCTATTTATACTTTCTTTGTCTTTTATTCTAAATTATTTTTGTATTTATATAATTAGAATTTGAGCTCATTATGGAAAAAAAGAGAGAATATTATTTAAATAGAATTAATAAGTACAAAATTAAATTCTACATCAATTTACTGCGTTCAAAATATAATTTATTTTTAATATTTTTTATAGGAATTTTTAATTTTCTTAAAAAAAATTACAGATAAGTGGTAAACTTTGTATACATTAATAATTAAAATCATACATTTTTTCATAAATCTATCATAATTTTCTGATAGTATCATGTTCGATAATTTCCTTTTTTTTAAGGGAAAATTAATATATATGTATTTATTTATATATTTAAAAGGATAAATTACAAACACACTTCTTGAGATTTAGTTAAATTACAAATAACCCTGTGCTTCTAAAAATTACGTTATGCCCCCAAGGTTTCTAATTTCATAACACATAGGTCCTTTTATTAATAAATCATCGAGTTAATTAACAGTTTTTCATAATTTTAAAATTTTATTTCAATTAATAATTCAGATAATTTTATTATTGTATAGGTGAACAATTAGAAATTTCACTTTTTTAATTAATTCTAT